CAAAACAATCTTTTAAGTTAAAATATAATAAACGCACTACGATTTTTAAAATATTATTTTTGTTTAGCAATAAGTAATATGTAAGACGAAACGTGCGTCACCAGGTCCTACAAATTTTATTACCAGCTCATCCTACAAATTTTAATACCAGCTCATAAGAACATATGATACGTGTGTACACGCTGGCGAAGCCTAGTAAAAGCAAACTAACCCGCACACACGCAGCACCCTATGTGTGGCCCGGCGAACCGCAGCAGAAAACGGGGCAAAATGAAATTTAAATGGTGCATTTAAGTACGATGTGTAGTCCACATACTGTGTGTACACAGCACAATGTCGATTTAAGCCAATGGGCGCCACCTTCGATGCGCTCGGCAGCTTTTTAGCGCAAATGACGCCGCCTTCGCTGCGCTCGGCAGTCAGTAGAACGCGCGTATTAGCGTGCGTTTTATTAGCCCTAGCCGCGGACGGACTGACAGACAGACAGCACATAGGGGGGAATAAAAAAATTGAACTTATTTTTTTAAATCAAAGAACATGTGTGAAGGATCTTTTATTCATAGATGTATTTTTTACCATTTATATACAGACAACGAGGGTGAAATCCTCCACCATCTGAACGCCATCCTCCTTCGTAGCTCTTTTTTTGACGACAGAAAAATCCGTCACAGAGTTTAATTGGTAGATACAGCGAATTATTTACCACAAAAGCAGAAAACATTGACTGTGATTATATTCCAACTATCAGAAACATTGAAACAGCTTTTTTTTAAGCATTTTGCTACGACCTCTTTCCACGCCTCGATCGTCTGTTGGATTGTAGCTAGGCGTTTTTTCGCCGCCTTGTTATCTGCTTTACGCTTATTCAGACTTCAGCCCTCGATGCTCATAGTGTTCGCTTCGTTTGGGTTGCTGTCGGCTTCGTTTGGCACCACGCAAACGCACGCAAGCACTCTCCATCGCAGATGCACTTGTCCCAGCAAATGCAATCCTCCCAGCACAGGCATGTCTCCCACCGCCCACACTTGCTTTACCCAACTTTGCATCCTTTGCCGAGTCGTCAGTACTTTACGTATCTGTGTCCGTCTCCGCGCTGATGTCTGTCTGCCATTTGCCCGTAATTTTCGTTTTTAAAGGTCCCATGACCCCAACGTCTAGTGGCTGGCAGACCGCGGTGCTGTTATGTGGCAGCTGGAAAACCAGAGCTGTTGTACAACATCAACTCCTCCCTTGGATACGTGTACGTGGAAGTTATCGAGGATAAGGACTGATGGCGCTTTAAGCTCAAGCTTCAGCAGCTCTTGAACGTCGAATGACAACACGGTGGCATCCATCTCTTGTACTATGCACACATGACCGACCGGATATGTTGACAGATCCTTATTTTCTATGGAACCATTTGACATCGCACGCAAAATAAAAAATAGGAATATTTGCTGATGCTTGTGAGGCTCTGCTCGTGCCGGTGTCGGGGGCTAATTACAGCGCTGTCACCTAAATCAGTGCTGCCACCAGCTCTGGTTGATTCTACGACTCCCTCCGAAGAAGAGCTATCGCTATCGCGATCACTGTATGTGAATCCTTCTTGAGTATTCAATAGTAGCGGATGTGTACTTGGACTATCGTCCATAAAGGGTTGCAGCTCGTTAAAACTTGGGCATCTTTGTAGTATTGCGGCTCGTAAATCCCTCTCCGAATTCACACCTTGGCCAGTGCTGGCTAACCAGTCAGACACCGAACGGAAGCTGGTCTCAATACCGAGAATCTTGTTCATCACGTCCTTTGGTGCTCATACAGTGGGCACCTCACTATCTACGATAGCGTCCACGACCTCAGTTGCTAGCGCTTACTTGGTCTCGCCACTTTGCCCCTCTCCTCCCCTGTAGCGGTTGTAGTTGTTCTGTCCGTTAACCACTTAATCAATACACTTAGAGAGCTGACGCTTGAGCCTGGACCATCGTTGTGCCACAAAACTTTCTTCTTAGCAGGCTGCTCTATCGAAACCAGCCTACGGGCCTTCACAACAGCATTATAACAGCATTTTCTGCAGACGCTACTGTCGAACAATTCTTCGGCTCCGAACGTTGAGAGCATTGCAGCCAAGCAAGTGCGATGTATGCTGCGCTCACATCCGTGACTTCCAATCGATAGTAATGCCGATTCATCGGTGTTGGATATTCTGTCCAAAACGAGTCCAACTTTGTCCAAATTATCCAGAAACAATTTGCTGTTTTGGTGATAAATTACCATATTTATCCAAAATCTGTCCAAAACAGATGCGTTATTTTATTAATTACGGATCTAAATATTACATTTTTGCTAGTTAAAGTAAGGCTGTAACGGTTGGCGTGTAGTGCGTTCTCGAGCTAGGGCATTACTTCATTCAGGCATTTCCCAAATGCTGCACGAAGGGAAGGAGTACGTGATTAGGACAACGAACAAAGTCACTGGCACCATCTACTATAACTGCCGTCATTTCCGACAAGGCTGCCTTGCAAAGCTGATATCAAAAAGAGAACACGTAGGCGCTCGCGGTGACCACAACTGCGAGAATTTACTGCCGAAACAAGTCGTGGATGTGCGGTGTGAAATGCGTCAGCAGCTCCAGCGAGCGGCCCTAGAATCAGCGTCTGAAGCTCCATCAATGGTGTGGGAGCGTGTCCGCTCAGCATTGAACAACTTACACAAAGGAAGCACGCTGAACGCCATCCCAAAGCTGCAAGGTGTCAACATTGTCAAAAATACCCGCAAGGGTATGGGTTGCGATATGCTACACTCGCTCGACAAGACCGAGGCGCGCTGGCTCAGCGACTCGGACAAACGCTCCTTTGTGAGGTTTAACACTGGGTTCTCTGTCAAGAATAAGGAGCGCCGTATCGTAGGATTTGGGCACCCAGATCTAGTCCTCAATAACCCGCTCGAAAAGTACAACCGCGACTTCGGCGAGAAATTTGGGCGTGGAGCTCATCCAAGCTTACTAACGTTCATGGAGACAGCTAAAGCCGAGGCACTAGGTTACGTGAGCCGCATCCATGACATCAAGCTGGGAATTCAAACAGCGCCTCGCCACGCTGAAGCTGTCGTCACTCAAGTTCCAGACGACTACATGAACTTCATGTAAACAGTTTGAACAGCTTTTGGACAGTTTGGATAGCTTTGGACAGTTTGGATAGCTTTTGGACAGTTTGGATAGGTTTTGGACAGTTTGGACAGTCCTGGAAAAATATACAAAACAATCTTTTAGATTATTAAATCTGTCATTTATCAATTGGACAATTTAGACATTGTTGGACTCGTTTTGGACAGAATATCTCCTTCCGATTCATCAGTTGTAGCCTTCGCAACGCGCCTGCATGCCTTCCACTTGCACGGCGCCATATAGATCTGCGAGTGGATCTGCGACTGTTCTATTTGCAGATCGCCGAAAAAAAATGAAGCTGCTGCTGCCCAACTTGCGCGACTTTTGATTCTGGACACTGAAAAATATTCCACCCAATCGGAGCGCCGGATTTTTTTTGACTTGCTGCGGCAGAAAAAAAAGAGCTACTGCGAACATTGACTACCCCTATTCTTTACTTAAAATTTGTTTTAGATTTGAAAGAATCAAATCTAATCATATAAAATACAACAGTCGGCATGAGCTGTCGTAACAGCAGTCAATCGCCCGGAGTGATTTTGTGCACTCTTGACCTCGGCCGATCCTTTCCGACCTTCTACTGCCGAATTTTATGAAGATGGCATACCGAAATACATCGCTGTTTCATCGACGTTTACATCGCATCCAGCGGAAACGATCTGTCACAAAATTTCACTGCAAACTGTCAATGCATTTCAATCATTTAAGCTTCATTTTGTTTGCATATTGTGGCTTTTGTCCTGTAAATCCATGTCTATCACGCTCGGTAGGTAAACAAATATAAAAGTAGAAACCGAAAACAAGTAGAAAAAACGAATTGTCGTGCTACAAACCTCTGACAAAGCTTCTTTAATGCGCCTAGTCTATTCTTAACGCTCTCCTTAGCAGTAAAATACCGTCTCACATCGTGGCTGCACCTTTTTTAAAGTATTACTTAGAAAAATTGTAGAAACGATAGTAAAAGGAACTAATGCAAAATATGATTTTTCCCACTTCTCTCCTCACATCCATCATAGATGTTACTAAGTCGTGTACGAAGGAAATTAGCGGCGCTGCGCCCTGTCCCTTCAATTGTTTACTTGTTTGGGCACCTGAAAACTTTTGAATGTTCTTCTTATCGTCTACCCAGTCGCCAAGGGTCGTGCGAGGGAAACTTTGCTTCTCTGATGCTGCTTTGCAGCTTTTAAACGCCTCAACAGTCGCGATTGGCTAGAATGATATAAGAGCGCTGAGGCGCCATTTCCAAAGTGAGAGGTTTTAAAACTGCTCGTAGGAGCCTCCGGATGTGATTCAATGTTTCATTGGCTAAGAAAGTAAGGTGTTCAAATCGGTTTTATAAAACCTCAAATGCTTGTGGCGGATTTATATGGTGTGGCAGATCTCACCGTCGTTGTCCGTATGGAAGTCGACATGAGATACAACAATTAATTAAAAATAGGTTTCATTCTGTATGATATTATATAAGGTAAAACGCTCTGTAAGTATAAAAGTAGCAGATTGGGGAACGATTAGACGAATGTTGTAAATGTTGCGCAGACTAGTCGCTAATATGTATATAATGTGTCGCCAGCTGTATATTCAGTATTATTAAGCTATAGAATACTTTAAGTATTGTTTTCGTACTGTTGCTGTGTACAGTAGTCCCATTGTTCTTGGTACCACCTCGTACAGAAGCTGGGGATTCTCTCCCCCTAAATTCTACGCGAAATATGTGAGAATTTGATAGTTAGTGAGAAGCAAAAATGCAGATCAGAGGAACAATGAGCTCAAGAAAATAATAAGGGGTTACGGACGCAATCAAGTGAAGCGTCCTCCTTGGCGATATATAAAATTCAAGATCAGCTGGATACCCACCCTTGTGTCGATGACGGTGTGCGCCTGCCGCAGCTTAAACGCTCGCCACCATAATAGTTTTCATCAACCCACTAGCCCCGTGTCCGTTTTGCGGAATCAGTGCAGCTAACGTAGACGACAGAAGATTAAAAGCGCTGAGCGCGTCGAGATTAAGGGATCGCTCGCACAGAATTCGCTTTTGGCGCTCCGTTACAACGAGTCTGGCTGTTGCAGCGGTATTTTGCCCCAGATTAATGAAGAGATGTCGAAGCATGTCCCTTGAAACAGGAGGATCGTTGCCAATAATTCCAGTCATCATTCTGTCGAGTGACAGTAGATATACGCCAGCCTTCGCGAGTCCTTTCATCGCATTATCCGGGCAGCACGCTTCAATCAAGGGCACGAATAGCTCTTTCGAAAGAGTATTACCTCTCCTTTCCGATATGGTACATAATACGACATTGGACTATTATTAGTACTCCTAACGGGCATTCACTTTACAATTCATTTTCCTTATTGACTTGTTTTTGTAAAGAAAGCCTATGATTCGAAATATGTCCTGGCCCAAATATGTCTAATTACGGGTATCATCACGACGTTTTCGGAAACATGAAAACATATTAATAGCATCCGGCTATGTAATTCATGAAAATACAGCGAAAAGGTTTTTAGAAAACAAAAAACTTGTATTCCGCACGGTATTCGTCACCTACCGGTATTTCCACCAGTATTTCGCTAACCTCGCCATCCATTTTGTGGCCAGTATCGTCATCGCAGCCATGTTCGCATTCTCTCGTCTCGCTCGCGCCGCTCGCCCGGCGGTGTCTCTTCCGGCTGCGCGCTGCGTGTCATACGTGGCGCCACCGCGTGTGTCTGCCGACAAAAGTTACCGCTTCGGTCTTAAACTGGACGACGTGAAGCCCGAGGACGAGGATGAAGCGAAGGCGCTCGAGCAACTAAAGGGCGTGCTGAGTCTGCGCAACGCGTCGCAGCACGAGCTCAACAAGGCGCAGGTGGCTACAGCCATCGAGACGTTCCAGCGCTTCCCGGGCGACACTGGCTCCAGCGAGGTGCAGATCGCAGTGCTGACGCAGAAGATTCTACGCAGCACGACCCACGCGCAGGGTCACAAGAAGGACCATCACTCGCGACGAGGCCTGATCGCTATGGTGGAGAAGCGACGGAAGCTGCTCAAGTATCTGCGTCGCAAGGACCTGCACAAGTTCCGTGAGGTGGTGGCGGCGCTTGGCCTCCGCTTCACTTAAGGTGTCTACAGTAGAAGGAAGTAGGCAGGAGGTAGAAGGGTAGGACGGAACACAAAGACTTCGTAAAGGTAGAACGTACTACTGTACTTGTGGCATTTTAGTAATTACTATCGTCGTCTTCATCTTCCTCGAGAATTGGCGCCTCTTCGCTCTCCATGAGTAACGACAGGATGTCGACACATTCGGCGAATGACACGAGCGTGTCACTAGCAGCGCCGATTTCTTGCAGTAACTCAGCGAGTTGATCCTCACTCACCTCGAGTTGCAGCACGTCGATGAGGCCAGACAGACGAGAGCACGGGATGCAGCCACTTCGGGTCTTGACAGACGCCGTGTCGAGACTCTCGGCGAGTGCAGCGCTCTGTTCTGCCAATAGAGCTGCAAACTCGCTCTGGATCAAGCGCAGCATCTGCTCGTCAAAGACGACTACGCCCGGCTCGAGATCTGTCGCGGCCATTGAGCTACGACGAGTTGCAACAGCTGTATCGACTGCACTCTGAATGTAGCCATCATCGGCTTCAAAGGCTCGTTCGCGGACACGGTCCTGACGGATACTGGCGACCCCTTCACTTAACACTTGATTTGGGTATGCGAGCTCCAACTGCAAATGTAGCCATTTTAGTGAGAGTAGATGGCTAAAACATCGACGACGCTTACCTCTGGAAGTTGGAAAGCGTTGCGACTCTCGTCGTCTCCAAGCTCGTCGTCATTGTACTCGGTGTCGTCATGGTACGTGCCACATTTTGGTGCCCCATCGGCCCACTCGCCTTCGTAGATCTTGCGAGTGGCCTTATAGAAATACCGTCCTGGGCCTTCTTTTCTGTCGTTAAGCCAATGACCCTCATAACGATCACCATTTGCTGTTCAATTTCCAAGTGAGTTGTTCGTTCAAAATGGCTACATCAAGCTCCTTACGTACCCAACACTAGCGTTCCACGTCCAGATCGCTCATTATCCACCCATTCTCCATCGTAGACGGACTGGTCCTCACCGTTGACCATCCTCCCATGACCATGACGCTTGTTATTAAGCCACTGCCCCTCATACTTCCCGCCATCTTCGTTGAAAAACGTGCCACGACCGTCTCGGTGGTCATTGCACCACTCCCCGGCGTATTGTTTGCGCAGTTTCTTCTTCTCCTCGACCCAGTAGACCCCTCGACCCTCCCGTTTGTTCTCGACCCATTCACCTTCGTATTTGTTCCCGTTCGCGTACAATAGAGCGCCGTAGCCATGTTTCATGCCATCTTTCCAGTCGCCAGTGTACTTGCCTAGCAGAGTATACTCGATCTTCTTGGCAGATGCAGCCATGTTGGTAGACTCCATCACATTCGTGTAGCTTGGCAACTTGACCTCGCCCTTCTTCGGCTGCACCCAGTACACCGAGTGTCTAGGGCCATTCCGGGCTGCTAATTGTTCGCGTAGTCGACTTGCAGACAGAGAATTACCTCGACGGCCGATCGCGGGCTTTGCACTTGTCGTAACCTTGGTGCTCATGGTATAATAGCAGGAAACACCAACTGCCCCTGTGTAGCCATTTCAACAGCAACCTTAAAAATACACAGGTAAAGTTCATCGTCAATTTTAGAACATGGCTACATTTAGCCATCACATCGGCACATGCAGTCTACGATATGGCTTTGATAACACGATGCTGAGGAGTATCACTGGGGCCCATCACGCGTGATGAGTGCTCCATACAAGTTCGGTCTGCGGTCGCGAACAAGTCCCCAGCTAGCTCGTCGTACATGGAACTTCTCGAGGTCAAAGCTCTCCACCAACACACCTTCGGACTCCCGATCGGCAATTTTGAGCTGTTAATACCGACAGACACCGGGTTAGCAGCTGTGAAGTGGACAATCAAGTGTCTGTCTGACAAGCACGCACCATTTCGCCAGTCTGGCCGGTGATAAACGAGGACCCAACGAACGTAACATGGATACCGTCCACGACTTCGGCACCCACGCGGTTGGAGCAGATTACAGGCACCATACTCGCCGCTGCGTGTCCCTGCATCACACGCTGCCACTGATCACGAGCGTCGAAGTTGGGGTCGTAGTGGTTGCTGCCCATTGCACTTGGATACAGCAGCAACTCCGCTCCTTGTACTACCAAACTGCGAGCCACTTCGGGGTACCATTGGTCCGAGCCAATGGCTACACCAATCTTGCCATAATGCTGCCAGATATTACAAACATTTAGTACAAATGCTCGAGGTTTGACGCCGTTGTCTTTAACGCACCGTGTTCCAGACTTTAAATGAGTCGTCGGACGGTGTGAAGTAGTATTTCTCATTGTAGCCAAGACGGTCTATCAGATCGAATGAAGGATAAATTAAGCCATCACAACCATTGTAGCCATTTACTTCGAATGTACCCACCTCCAATGTGCATCTTTCGCACAACACCCAGTACCGTTCCATCGGCGTCGATCACAGCACACGAGTTGTAGTATGAGTTTCTGTATCTCTCGAAGAAACTGATGGGGATCACCACGTGCAGCTCTTTCGCCAGCAACGCCATACCCTGTACGAGTGCAGACTCTTCCAGCGTTGTAGCCAACTGGAAGTTGCCGGCGTTGAGCTCAATAGGGAAGTACGAGAACTGGAAAAGCTCCTGAAGCAGAATGACTTGCGCTCCACGGGAGCTGGCAATACGCACGAGCGACTCGGCCTTCTTGATGTTCTCCTCGGGGTTGCCACAGCTCATCTGCGTCGCTGCCACCGTCATCGTCTACGAAAATAAGAAGGAAAATACGAAAATAAGAACAGCCACAGCGACAATGATTAGCTCATCTTCGAGCAGCTCCGATAATGGCTACTTGTACCCGTTCGACGGAGGTGGACGGTGCCTTATAGGCCGAAGTGGCAACGGTGGAGCTGGAGCCCAGAGAGCTCGTGGAGGAGCCGATGCGGCTGGAGGCGTGCATGAAGAGCGACTTGGCGTCCAGCGGGGAGCTCCTGCAATGATGGATTTGGACAGGCGGCGGTACGACGCTTTGTGAAGGAGCATAGTGAAGACAAGAGGGTGCGTACAGTTGGCGACACTACGATCTCGGATCTAACAAATGCTCAGTAGTGTTTTGATGATAATAACAAAATCTCAGTGCTTCAAGAAACATTAACTGAGCGTTTGATAGCGGATAGTTGATGTCAGGTCGGACATTCAAAGCGTACTAAGATAACGCTGTAAGTGGTACATTTGTACTGACTATCAGTTAGTCTGAAACCTGAGTATGCACGCAGTGAGGACGGGAGTGCACTGCAGGGCCTCGCTGTCTTGCTCGCATGTGTAACGATGGTGCATGCTTAGTAAGAGCACTTGTGTGGCCCATTCTGTATCATTCTCGTAGTTGCAGCAGCCAGAAGTGTCAACTCGGCAGCTCTCTAGCAAATGACACCTAGGTGTCTTGTGCGTGGATACTTCGCTTGCAGTTGCGGCCACTGTACGACGAACTCATCTGCTACGTAGTAGAGCAGTTTGCCAGTGAGAGATAAGTGCTGTACACGCGCGAAACTCTCGCAGAAGATGATCTTCGAGTCTGTCTGGATGCCCAACACACGGAACAACAGCACCGCCGCGCAGATCGGGATGCAAGTGCCTGGAAGCGGCCAAAACGCAGCAAACAAGGGGTTAAGAGCTAAGAAATAACCTCTAGCCCCCTTAATCTTCTTTAACGCACCAGGTCCATTGCAAAGCACCAATTGCGGGCGACGGTTGTACACCAGACCCAGACACGACTGGAACGAGCGTAGCGTAGTCCACACTGTAGACGACCACGACTGCCCTACCTGGTGGAAAATAACGCACAGATCGTCAGATATTATATTCACAACATTGCACAGCGTTGTCATCGCGTTGCACCTCTCGGCTGCGTGGGATAATGGCGAAAGAGTCTCTCTGCGTAGGCTTCCAGTCCAGTTCGGTCTTGGCCTGACTGGTTTTGTCCGTCTCGGCCACTACGAATGTAATAGGCGTATAGATTTCTCTCTTGAGTCTCTTCATAAGCTTAAGCAGCTCCGTCGTGTGGCCGCCAGAGCCCAGTACAGCCATGACGCGGATCTGGCGCTTCGCATTCTTGCCATTGGCCGCATTCTGCTGGTAGAAAAACGACTTCGAGTAGCTGGAGACACACGCTTTGACCCGCTGAGGGACAACCACCTGCCAGACACGCAAAGCGATCAGTGTAGCCACCAGGAACAGCGCGCCAACGAGACGTAGCAACAGTCCGAGCAGCTCCATACTTTAAATGCCCTCGTCAAATCGATATATAGGGTACGTTTTAGGGTACGTGAAGGTTACAGATGGGGTACGTAAAGGCAAGTTTTTTAAAATGCATGACAAGCTGATCACTTCCGAATCGTCCTCGTAGAACTCAAGTGGCTTCAAAGGACCGATAAAATGGGTTCATCAGTGCTGCAGACGTATGTGGTGTGCACGAGTGTGCTGTACTTCAAGTTCCTGCGTGTGACGATGATCCAAGCCAAGAAGACGTTCGAGGCCGGCGGTCGCGCACCTGAAGATAAGGCTCTTCCGCTGGCCAAGGGCCGTCCGCAACAGACGTACGGCATGGACCCGAAAGCGACAAAGGACGAGAAGATCCTTAAGGCTCGTGAAGTGGAACATCGCTGGCGTCGCATTGTGCAGAACGACCTGGAGTCCATTCCGCTGGCTCTGGTGGTCTTTGGCATCGGTGTCGCTATCGAGGACCGTATCAACCCGACCGTGCAGATCGGAGCGATGGCGACGTACACGGTACTGCGTTGCTTCCACACCGTCGCCTACGCCAAGAAGTTACAGCCACACCGGGCCTGGTGCTGGCGTCTCGGCGTCGTAGCCATCGTGGCAGGTGCCGTCAACGCTGTGATTGGCGTGTACGCATAGGAATCGAGCTGTACATGTAGATAGGATTAAAAGACCATAAATCGAAGAAAAATTACAGTTAAGAGCTGAGATCATGGCTGTATTCGAGTACCCATGCGTTTAGTCAAGCGATGCGCTTGCTGTTTTTGTGCTGACGATTCGTCAGGTAGATGTACGCATCAGCTCTAAACTGCCTCAGTCAAGCAACAGCAACATCCAGACGTTCGGTTTGAAGGCATTCGGCCTCCGATCTGTCAGGTGTTGGTTGAACTTGTATCCATATCAACACCATTAACTTAATTGAGAGACCATTGAAACGTAACATGTCATTCGATTGGCTAAAATACAGTACCAGTCATTACGTATCCGGCTTCGACACTTCTAACCTTTGAAACGGGTCTACGAAATTGAAAGCCTATATCGCCTCGCTCAAATTCGTCATCGCCACTGGAATCCAAGCCACCAAGATTTTCGATGTAGGGTGCCGAACACCCGAGGACAAGAATTTGGCTCTCGCTCAAGGACAACTACGGGATGTTCAGCGATGAAAGTGACGTGGAGCTCTTGAAGGTAAGCGAGATCGAGCACCGATGGAAGCGCATCATCCTGAACGACCTCGAGTCCATCCCTCTGGCGCTGCTGGTGTTCCTCGGAGGAGTGTTTGCTGGCGGCAACAGCGAGTCATTCGTCATATGTCTTGTCAACTACACGTTCGTGCGCTGTTTCCACACGTACGCCTACGCCAACATGCTGCAGTCGCATCGCGCGTGGTGCTGACGCATCGGTGGGCTCATGATCATCACCAGCGGCGTCAACTCCATCGTCGGCGTCTTCCGTTAGTGAGCGAGTGACTCTAGCTTCTCATTAAAAACCATAAGATCAAGTAGAAACTGGAAGCTCTTACTGCTGCAATTTTTATCTTACCGCAAAAAAAAGAATTAATCAATCGTTTGTCTCCCGGTTAAGTTTTGCCAATCAAGACGTGGTACCATCCGTGTCAACCAATGACGGCCGCGCCATTCACGCCATTAGGTTCTGGTCTTCGAGATTGTGAGAGGGTTCTACACGTCATCCATGATCAATTGTCCGCCGTGGAAGTCGCTCCATTCTGTATTTCTCCTCTTCTGAAACAGCACAGCACCATGTCGGCGTCCACCGAGCTCAAGACCTACGTAACCTGCGCCGCCGTACTGTACGTCAAGTTCGTGCTGGCGACGGGGATCCAGGCCACCAAGACGTTCGAAGCCGGAGGTCGTCCGCCAGAGGATGAGAACCTGCCATTGGCCAAGGGCAACCCCAAACAGACGTACGGACTCGTCACGGCGCCAGAGACCAGCAAGGAAGAGAGCGAGAAGCTCCAGACAGCCAAACTCACGGAGCTGCGCTGGCGTCGCATCGTGCAGAACGATCTCGAGTCCATTCCGTTGGCGCTCGTCGTCTTCGGCGCCGGCGTGATGGCTAAGGGCAACCCGACCGTGCAGATCGGCGCCATGGTCGGGTACACGGCAGTGCGCTGCTTCCACACCGTGGCGTACGCTAACGCCATGCACCCGCATCGCGCGCTGTGCTGGCTGTTCGGCGTCATTTTCATCACCACGAGCGCCGGCAACGCGCTGTACGGCGCCTTCTCCAGTTAGACAGATAGGCACTGCAACAATACCATAAATCAAAATCACGCGCTTGCTGTAGTCTTCACCATTGTCTTGCCATTGCACAACGTCAAACGGCAAATCTCCGTTATCGTACTGACTGACCCTCTATTTTTAGTGACTGATACGGCAGCGTCAAGGACGACTGTCACTTCCTGTCGACCTCAATCCGTGCTGTGCTGCTAGTGGCTCATAATTTTATCCGCTTCTGCAGCTCCGTTCCAATTCCTACACAACCACGGTCGCAGGTAATGTGAATGTACGAACACCGATGGCACGTGTGATCGTCAACGACCTGGAATCCTCTTCATCTTTGGCTGACGACGGGTGCACTACGGTAGAGCAAGCAAAAGTACGAGGTGTCTGGTATGCAGGCCTGGTCACGGTGACAACCAGGCTGGTTGACAACCGGTGTGATGCTGGTTACCAGCATCCTGTGACGGCCACCAGACCTCCATCATGCCACATCATCACCAGACCTCCATCATGGACTGGTTGATCTGCACTCAACTCTGTGACGTGTGACATGCTGGTCTTTGTAAACGTTTGTAAACGCGTCAACAGGTCCCACGTCGCCTGCCCTGCGTCACGTCCCGGACGTAGCCGATCATACCCGAATTCGCCAAGAGATCCACAGTACAATGATTGACGCCAACACCAAGGTCTACATCGCCTGCAGCTCCGTGCTGTACCTCAAGTTCCTGCTCGCCACAGGCATTCAGGGCGGCAAGAAGTTCCGCTCGGGCGGTCGTCCGCCCGAAGATGCCGTGCTCAGTCTGGCCAACACCATTGGCAAGGGCCGGAAGCAGACGTACGGCCTGGACAAGACCGACGACGAGAAGGTGCTCAAGGCCCGTGAGGTTGAGTACCGCTGGACGCGCATCGTGGGCAACGATCTTGAGTCGATCCCCTTCGCGCTCTTCATCTTCGGCGGCGGTATCCTGGCCGGCAGCAACCCCACGGTCCATGCCGGCGCAATGACCGTCTACACGGTCGCTCGCTGTCTGCACACGTACGTGTACGCACACGCTATGCAGCCCGCTCGCGGTATTTGCTGGGGCATAGGTGTGCTCGCCACCCTCGTGGGCGTCGGCAACGCTGTCGTCGCCATCCTGTAAGCTCCAGCGGCAGTGGAAGTGGTTCTGTTAAGAAGCTCGTCTGTTTTCAACTAAAAGAGAATTTGAACTGCCTTGTTACTATGGTAACAATCGTTTGAAGTGTTGATTCACATGTCGGTTGGTGTGCAAGGTCTGTTTACAATCTACTCGATCGGTAAACACGCTGCTCGGGGCGCTCAGCTCCGGGACTGATCAGCTAATAAAAATGACATTAAGCTCGAATTATCCTGTTCAAAGCTCCCTCGGTAGGACCGTCATAGTCGAATTGTTTGCCTCAAACACACAAGAAACTCAGTAAAAGATCGACATCGCTTTCAAAATGGTGGCGACGAGCGCTCGTCTGGGGTTGTCAATTCGATCGTTGCGATCAAATACAGTAGTCAAGGTGCAGTAGTTACGCTGTCTAGCAATAACAAGAAACTCCGAGGGACAAGAAGCCAGGATCGAAGCAACAACTTCATTGTAACATTTAGCTAGTACATGGTATTTAATAACCACACTTGACATCCACAACTACTTTTCAAAAAAACAAAAACAAAAAGCGTTTCTCGCTGCTCATCCACGCAACGCCCTTGCGTTGCCCTTCACTAACGCCGCAGCTTGGGCCGCCGCTTTAGTCACGCTCCCATCCATTGGGTACGTAATGTGGGCCATCGTGTTGAAGCCGTTGGCACACACCGGGTCACCCAAGTTGCAGAACTCGATCGCCTTGGAACCGTACAGCTGGCTGGATCTTGCGATGGTTTGGCCCATGAGCTTCAACGGGTTGCCGAATGTCACGATGGCCTTGATACGAGGCGCTAATTCCTCCGGGATACTTGCACCGACGCCGAGCATCGTCTTGATACCGATGGCGATGTCGGTGACGCTAGCCCCTTGAGAGTACCCGCCAAGCACGAACACAGTGTTTGGGCACTGCTGAGCCACGGCTTTGACCTGGTTGGTCATGTCGGTGGCACCCGGACCGGCACTGGTTTGAGCTACTGAAGCCAGGTAGTTGACTGCGTAGGACGAGACACTCAGGCCTGCGAGATTGGACTTGATGCCGCTCACCAATGGTGTCCCGCAGATACCAAACCCAGGCATTTCGCCACTTCCACGAGCGAAGACGATGTGGACGTCACTGCATTGGGCGGCGACGTTGACGGGACCGGTGAGCAGCAGCATGAGTGCACTGAAGACGACCGAGCAAGATGACGAAAACTTCATTGTATTGACACTTGTGTAACTGAGGACTTGATCAGGATGAGAGAAAATTGAGAATGGTTCTACTGGATTCGTTTTCAAACAGCAAAACGGAGGTCTAGACGTTGAGCGTTCGTCTTATACCGGAATTTCACCATGCGGCATTCAAAGCAGTCATGCCTGCTTGCTGCGGGCTCCAGACGGTGTCACTCCACATGCAGGATGACCGCAATCTACAATTGATCTCCGATCTTAGCAAACTTATTGTCGCGCCGGATTGCCAAGGACAAAAAATTGACTGCAGACAGTTGATGCTACATTTGCTGACCGCAATCAATATGGTGAGCTTTGACCTTCGGGCTGCTGTTGGCCAACATCTCGTACGGATAGATACTTGAATATGATGCATGCACCAAGAGAAAACGAGTTCATGCTGTTTCAGCGAAAACAACAGCTTGGTCACCTTTTCATCTGCGTACGCATTTCTGACTTTAACGTGGCACATCTCACACGATCAGGCGAGGCTTGCGGAGTTCGGTTTTTGACCCAATACTCTTTTAGTATTGAGATGAGCGTTCATTTTAGATTCGCACTTACCCACGCAATGAACAAAATGCAAGCTAGTGCTGACAGTAGTTTTAGGGGGCGTGATGCAAGTAAAACTTGCATCAAACATTTACAACATTCTTGTTTTGGGAGTAACTACAGTCCCTAACCAAAAATGTAGAGACAGGACACGATGAAATTACACCCACTTGGGCTTCGTATTTTATTTTCCGGTAAAATACGAAAATCTCTACTTTCGTTTCTCTAAAATTGCGCGCATCTGCTCAGCCTTTCATTTCGAAATCCTGCCTCCCCCTTGAGCCCCCCCCCTCCTCTCACTCCGGAACGCTTCTGCGCGGCGCCGACAGGTACTATCTCTGCTGTGACCCACTGACCCCTGTATTGTGTTTCTAACTTGAATACACACCGGCAGAAATGATGAGCGACTCAGAATCGGAAAAGGAACTAGAAGGTGGGGCTAGCGGGGCCATTTTTGCTGTCGATTCATCCGACAGCGACGAGCAGGAGATCCAGGAAATCGCGCCACGTTTTGCAAAGTGGCACGACACGTGGGACGAGTTTTTCACGAACCTGAGAGAGTATGAAGCACGTACTGCCCAGCTCTATCGAATTCGATCGTGCATGAAGACGTCGGCGAGGAACGAAAAGATCAAGAAGAAGAAAAGGTGGAAGGAAAGGGAGTTGATCCCGGACGCGTTTGGCGATTACTATAAGAAGCTGGTATGCACGCATGGATGGGAGAAGAATCCTCGCGGGGAGGGACAGCGGACTGGGCACATCCACCACAGCACAAATTGTGGCGTCAACCTTTCCGCGGCAGTCACGCTTTGCCAACAACTGGCACGTGGCGGGTGCATGTGAGCACACACAACAGAACACACAACCACAGACTTCGGCGTGAGGTCTACCAAAACTACCCGGCAACTCGGCGTGTAACAGAACCCGGCATTTTGGACTTCGTCGACGAGCTTGTCAAAGCGGGCTCCAAGCCCAAAAAGATTCTCAAGTATCTCCAGGAAACAACAGGTTTGATTAGCGAAGTGCATATCTTTATCTTGCTGTCAGTGGTTCTAATGACATGAGTTGGACAGGCAAACGAGTGACGCTCCGGGACGTGCACAATTTGGTCCGCAGGTTAAAGGCAAAACGTCGTGGCGCTACCACGGTTGAAGACAGGCGTGAGGCGGTGCTGCGGAAATTTTGCTCTGTTCGGGGGAACACTGCCTCCATCTTCGTTGATGATAGGAAGACAACGCAGACAATTACAATGCAGACACGGCAAATGGGACGATTCTTTGACGCTTTTCCGGAAGTGGTGCTGCTGGATTCGACCCACGGAACCAACGCTGCGAAGTACAAGCTCTTCAGCTTCATGATCGAAGATACTTTTGGCCACGTAAGTACTGCATTCTGTCCCGATTAGTTGGTGATCAATTCGTGACTTTGCCAAATGGTTAGTGATCAGTTGGTGTAGTTGGGGACTCATTAGTGACTATAACAATTGCTATGATTTGGTTAGTGATTAACACATCTTGCGTCGTGGTTCTTTCATGATAGGGTCAATATGTTCAACATGCATTGGTCGAAAACGAGAGTCATGCGTGCATGAAGGATGCTATCAATGCATTTAAGGAAAATAATCCTTCGTGGGACCAGATTCGCGCCTTCATGGTCGACAAGGACTTCGGAGAGATCACGCTTCTACAAAAGGAATTCCCGTTAGCTCGTGTATTGATTTGCCATTTTCATCTGAAGAAATATCTTCGTGCTGAGATGTCGGGCGCTATCTACGGCGGCCGCCATGGCGTGGATGTGGATCGTGTCGAAGACTCGCTCGACATGATGGTGAAGGCTCGAGCTAAAGAGGAGTATGATCGCGGCTTCAGGTACATGTACTACATTTTGGACGGATTCGATGAAGTAGGAGAGCTACCAGAGCTACCTGAGCCGAAGCACCCTCTGCTCCAATATTTCGTTCGAAACTGGCATTCCTGTAAAGAAATGTGGAGCACATACGAGCGTGGTGATGTCGCTCATCGTGGCAATCATACCAACAACCGGTAAGAATGTTGTACATTTGCCGTGATGCTTTTGCTATTAGACTAATCGCTCGCTTGTTGCTATGATGCAGACTTGAGTCAGCGTGGGGGGCGCTAAAAGAGATTCTGCGACCAGAGATGGAGCTGGACGAATGCGTGGAAACGCTGGTTTTTCTTCAGTCTACAGCGGAATTGGAGTATGCGTCGCGTATTAATGTTCTAGGCTCACGACATTATCATGGCGCAGATGAGATGCTGCTTCGGTTGTCAGCATTGGTGAGCCCACACGCGTTTGAGTTGGTTAGAAAGGAATACGAGCTGTTCAAGAGTGGCAGTGTTTCGTACGAAGGTAAGTGGCTGCAACATTCAATCGCCCGTCTGAAGTCGCTCACAACCGAGTGTGAATATACTGTTGATGTTTCGGTAAGTCAGCGTGGTAGCATATTTTCGGTTAGTAGATGTTGTCTCATGATACTTTGTGTTTTGCATGCAGACATATACATGCTCCTGCTTTTTCATGCGAGCTATGTTGCTTCCGTGCCATCACGCAGTGTTTGTACGGTCATCGATGGACAAAAAGAAGGTGATCCCTGTGAACTATATTCATACACGATGGTTGTTACAGTCCGAAGCAAACCGGCCCGAAGAAGACGAGTCAGGCGATGATGTTTCTTGTGCTGCACTTCGATTACAAACTTCGCATACGAGGTCTGTGGAACATGCAGTTTTGAATGGGTCTACGAAGTGGAAGACTGGCATGGATATTGCTGGCAGTGTCGTGGAGGCGATGTGCTCCCAAGGAACTCCCACTTGCCTAAAGATTGCTGAAGCGTTGCGAGAGTTTGGAGAATATGTTAAGCAGGGCAATGTACCGAACATTTCGGGATCTGATCAAAATTCACCTGCGAAGTTAAATTGTCAAGCTGGTGAAAATGGACCAGGCTTCACTGATTCGGATGATTCTAAGAGTGAAAATGGGTCGGACTTCAAGAGCTCGGATGATTCTAATTGTCCGTCAACACGAAGGGCGGCACAAGCATCAGAAAACAGCGATCGTGTATTGGAGTTGGATAGAGTTGATGGTTCGGATGCCGGTGAAATTGTTGGAGACGGTAGGTATGAAGCCATTCCGTGTGTCGCCAAGCCAGTCGATGTGGAAGGTGCTGAGTTTATTGCTGACACGGACCGATTGCTTCGCGAAACGCGTGAGGAAATTTCTGACAGTGACAATAGCGATTTACCGGCAAGCAAGGGCAAGATGAATCGCAACCTCGCCACCAAAGCAGTCGTCAAAGCAAAGAAGAAGCACCACCTGACCAATAAAGGCCCCGTCAAAGCAAAGAAGAAGCGCGACCTCGCCACCAAGACAGCAGCTAAACCCAAAGAAGATCTATGTGCGAGGACAAACTCGGATTCGGGTTCGAGGGGCGAGTCTAATACGGACCCCAAATTAGTTAGTAAAAGACCCCAGCCAGTTAGTAAAAGACCCCAGCCAGTTAGTAAAAGCCCCCAACCAGTTGGAGAAACACCTGTCACCTTTGAGCGAGTCTGATTCCAATCCCAATCAGTTAGTGAAAGACCCCACCGAGTTGGTGAAAGATGACAACCAGTTGGTAAAATTTCCCAACCAATTGGTCCTTCGTAAGCGGCGTACAACAGCAACGGATGAAAGCGATGATGCGAGCAGCAGAGATAGTTCCAGCAGTGAAGTACTTACAGGAAAATTTATCGTCAGCAAGGCAGTGAAAAGCAAGGGAAGGCCAAAGGTGCGTCGAAAACAAGTACGTGAAGCTAAACGACTTCGTATGCGTGAGTCAAGCGCCGAGGCAAACGAACTAGTTCAAGGAAGACTCGTCCCTGTAAAGGACTTATCGCTTGTTCGGAAGACGCTAGAGCACAACGGCAACGTGGCAGATGCTTTACCAGTACTGAACAGCATCACGCCAGAAGACCCACCGACTTGGAAGGCGACTTCGGTCGTGCTCCTCGCGAGAAAGCAGAAGGTTCACCGCAAAGTCACGATTGTCTTTCCGAAGAATTATGTTGCTAAGTGTATGGCAGGAATCAAGATCTACCGAAAGTCGTTGCCAAGCGATCATCATGCGGGCAGAATGGGGGTATCTATTTCGAAGATGGGTACTTTTGCGGAGGAAGATCTGAAAGCGATGCTCATGTGGTATGATGAATATCCGAAGCTGGTTGCTGTTCATGATCTTGCAGAATGGATCAGAGTTTCAAAGTTCACTCGAATTTTGCTACCTAGCCCGCTAAACAACTGCACCACCGTTGATTTGAAAGCTTGCGCAGCACGTCTAGAATCGATCAGTGTAACAAAGTTGGTCAGTACACGGTTCGGACAAGTGCAAGTACATGAACTAGCATTTTTTCGGAGATCTGAGTGGCTGGACGACTCGTGCT